TCGGGCGGGCGGGGTGGGGGGGGGGGGGTGGCAGCACGCACGCACCCTACTGTCAGACGCTTGGAGATTTACCTGTAATTATACACTTTTAGCAGCTTTTCCTGAATGTTCCATCGAGCTACTACATAAACACGGTGTCCAAGACTGTTGCAGCTTCCCAAAAACACCCGAAAGCTCGGTCACCTTCTGACAGTAGAAATCTACATCAAGATTCCAGCTTTCTCTCTAGATACTACCACGATGTAGAACTTATAATGCTCCGTGTAGCACGAGCTCTTGCTGAAGTTGAAATCTGTCTTGAAGGCTGCAGTGGCTGAGTTTGCAACACCAGTGCCTTCTTGTGGAAGAACGTGGAAGATGTGAGAATGAATCCAAGCACCAGTTCTGCACTGACAAAAAGAACTCTTCGGCTGCTGGAAAGCCCGTGCGTCATAGATTGCGTATGGTAGGATTGAAAGGGATGGACCGGGTCACGGCCTCCCTGTGTGGAGCCTCCGAGACTGGCATGCAGTTTGTAGGTCAGGCGGCGGTGGTGGCAACTGCATGTGGCAGGGAGGCTGGGATGGAAGAGGGAGCAAGATGAGCAAGGCAAGCAGGAGGGAAAGGGGAGCTAGGCGGAGGGCAGAAGACCACCAGACAGATACAGGGCTAGGTTTTCGACTAGAATCACGAGATCCGACGGTGAAAACTCCCTTGCGAAGTTGCAGAGCCTTTACATTTTCGATCAAAATCAACTTGTGTCCTTAGGCCCCGACTGCCGGGGATGCCGAATTCGTTGCAAAAAATTACTCGTACTTCGGCCCTTCCCAACTTGACGAATCTCGCTCCCGCGACAATGCCATGCGTACTTCCGCCACAGTCCTGCACTGTTTTTGGCTTTCAAATTGAAGTCCTGCCAAAGACATGCGAAGGCTCTCTGAGGCTTTTAAGTGTGGTCTCAGTCGCGGAGTTTGGCGTGTCGAGCACATTTTGGCTGCGACTCGTGTGAATACCAAATGTCGGAACTGCTTTGACATATTATGGGAGCACGACCAGCACACGCAGTCAGCTGAAGATGGAGAGTCCTGTAGGAAGACGGAAGAATTGCCAAGAAGACAACAAGAGGTTGGCAAAAGCCGGCATTGCAAAGTCGGCATCCCAAGTGAGTCGCACTGAGCTTTACAAGGAATTGAAGGGCCTGAAGCGGCAAAGGACGCAGAAAACAATAACCCTCCGCAGTGTCGCAAGTCAATCCAGTGCAGTTGTAAGTGGTCTTGTTTGGCATTTGCCCACACGCCGTCACAGAGTACTCGGGCACGCACATTCTGGTTCGACTTTCGGCGAACCCACAACACCTCGAAAACACATCCAGCATTGTTTGCAAACGGTCTGCCTACAGAGATGCTTGCTGCCCAGGCACCTTCCGGCCTATGTAGCCTTCGGGCGGTCACCGTTCCAAAGAAAAATCTCAAGTCTCAAACATCTCAGGTCGCTGCTTCTCGGAGGGCAAAGAATTAGGCATGCAAGGCCAACGCGCGCAGCTTCCAGCGCTTGGGGCCCTAGACTCCCTAGACCCTGGACGTCATGACGTGCTCTCAGTGTGGACCCTCATTGCTTGCAACCCCCGCCCTGTCCCATCCTACTGGGCTTCTCAGCATGTGATTCCGACTAGACTCTTCGCTTCATGGTCCGGTGGATGCCCGACGGAGTGGAGCATGGATTCTTCTCTGACTTGGCAAGTACGTACCACTTCATGGGCATCAAATGACAGACGATTCACAGAGCGGCACAGAGCGGCAAAGAGCGGCACGGTCATGAGCACAGTCAGCTTTGGCAGCATTAGCATGCATCCTGGCGCTCCAGCTTGCAAGGGTGAAACTACAACTGATCCAGTGCGGAGCTTCGCCACCTTGGCTTGTCAGAACAAGGACTGTCGTCAGAGCAGAGTCGGCACACGGAAGCCCAATGCTGTGTGGACAGGAAGTCTGAGGCAGCCACAGTTGGAACGGCGTGAATTCTCCAACTTATTTAAGTTGACTCCACCGGCGCAGCCAGCCAATAGAGGTGTGAGACGTACGCATCTTTGCATTGATTACTCTACAAACCGAGCAGACAGCCTCGCACACTGGCGTCGAAGCAGGCAAGCTATGCTTCAATAGCATTATGCGATCATTCTTGGCTCGTGTTCCAGACAACTGTGAGATGGCGAGCGTCAACACAAAATCCTGCGCTCACCGAGCTGTTTTTGCTGGTGAGCACAGGCACATATCAAAGACTTTGCACAATATCAAATTGCAATCCCATGCCGCTGACTATCACGCTCCAGTAGAAGACGTTGGCACCGGATGACGGAAAAGAATACCTAGCATCCCCTGTTGTAGGGTCTGCTATCAGAGCAAAAAGTTTGTCGAGTAGGACTGCAAGTCCTCGCGGTCCATCCTGACACAAAGCACAGCGAAACTTGAGGCTCGATCACGAGATGCACAGACCACCAGCCTCATTTGCCCTTGCTGCCGCCGAACATGACGGTATGTATGTGATGCACAACCTTCGAGCCCTCTGGGAGGTGCTTGGCGTGCCCGGTGTGTCCCGCTTCTCTGTGAAGGGCGCTAGAGACGCCCGTCTTGCCATCGTGGTGGTGATGGTCGTTGCTGGTGGTGGTCGCCATTCTGGTGGTCTTTGTGGCCAGAGTGATGCTGTTCACTGACATCCTTGACAGCATGTGACGACTCGGTGTTGCCTGCAATATCATCGGCCACATATTTCAATCCTTGTGGATACCTCCGGTCAGCAGGAGATAAACCAGAGTATGAGTCGTCATAGCTGTAGTGGTAGCTGTGCGGATACTCAATGTCCCCATCTGTGGTGACATAATGATCATGCCCTGGAACTTCGGGAGCGTCTGCGTCACTGTACACATACTGCGTTGAATGAGCCTTGCTGGATCTTGCTGGCACGAAGCTGCGCGGCACAGTTCAGAGACAGTCGCCTAAGCCCCGGACATCGAAATGACAGCCTTTGTTGTGGTAAAGGCAGCAGTAGTCCTGGAACACAGCAACCGCGAAATCGCAAGCGCGAAATCGTAGTCGTGAACAAAGCTGAAAGCTCTCGACCTGTTTCTCACTTGGCCATGACTTCTGTGAGCCAGCCTGCCATCAACATCTACGACTGCCCTACGATAGAGGCACTCATCAACGGATTTACATCGGGAGAACCGCCCCTGCAGCTGCTGGGTAGCCAACAGTTGTGATCACAGTGCGAGTACGGGACTCAAGAGGCCAAGGGCCGCACATCGCAGTCATAGTGGCCCTGCGATGAGACAACAGGGACCTCCTACTCCGGCTGAAACGTTTGCCTGGTCTACTCTCTGGGTAGCGAGCATGATGGTCGCAACCGAGATCTCTGTGAGCACAGCACCAGGCAGTCTTTGCAGGATGCCAAACTCGGAAGCATCAGGTACGCATCCATGGCAGCACCAACTTCCTACACCGCGAACACGATTTAGGAGCGGACGAGTCTTCCAGTTGGTGAGGCCATCCTTAACCAATCTCTGCGTGTAAACTTGGCAGAATCGCATCATACACTGCTGGCACTGGGTCGCAGTCATGGCAGTCGTAATGCATAACGAATGAGACCGGATGTGGATGTTGATAGGCCGGCGATGGAGATTCGTCCTTCGGTTTCATAAGGAGCTAAACCTACCGTATGTCAACTGCTGCCCGAACGAACACCTCGTGCTTCAACATCACAACGAGGTGCCATGACATCGTGCCATGCATAGGTCTGACAGAGACTCCAGTGTTGTCAGCCGTGTCGTGCAATCCACCGACATGGAGAATCGCACTTTTGCCAGGTACTTGCCCACTGTGTCGTAAGTCGCAGCAAGTGACTCATTCACGGGCCGCTGCACTGCAAGAAAAAGCAACAAAGGAATCTTTGATTGCAGCACCGACCCTGGTATGCAACCCAAAGCTCACAGCTTCATCAACTCATGTTTCTCGCACATGGTTTGATGGTTTGTCACACCCATTTTGCGATCGAAACTCATCGTTGCAGACCCCGCGTTCGGATGCAGCCGGAAGCCAAACGGGCCAGAAAGCTGCCTGTAACCTCTTGGCACCTCTGCTTCGGAGAATTCCAGCTTTGAGATTCTGCCAGTTCTGGAAAGATAAGATAACAGGTCCACTTCCTTGTATGGTTTGGCACCTTGTCGCAAATGCGTCATGCTCAACCGGGAATGACCTAATCTGCACATGTGACTTTCAATTGAATGTCTTGCTTGGCATCAGTTCGTGTGCGATGTCCTCGCATCCTCGATGATAGTTTGAGCAACAGAAAACCTGTCCGACGACAGGTTTTCTGGAGCAAGACATGAGGCTGTCTAGATCGGAGGTATGCCTTCTTGCCTTTCTCCCAGGAATCCACATCATCTGGCCATCCCTCGCGGCCTCGGAGAATCGAAGATATCGCTGATGCCGGGCTCACGTGGAGAGCACGCACTGACCGAGGCTGTTGCAGTTGAATTTGGGCCTCGACAGTTCAACGATAACAGGACAAGGCGACATCTCCATCATTGTCGACCGGTGTCGGTGTTTTGCTCTCACTACCTCTTCTGCAGCTTCCTCCCGCAGATTTGCGCGAAGTCTCAGAAGCTGAGACTGATGCTTGGGGATCGTGGCATCTTCGCAGCCTGCATGATGCGCGGTACAACCTCAAAGGGACAGCAAATCCACACCCCAAACACCCGGCAAGTGCTTTTGCAGACGCGTCCCGGAATCTGTGCTCCAGGCAGTACTTGCGATGATGCACGCTCCTCACAATGAATGTGCTTCTGATTGCATGCATCGAGTGTGTGACATGCCCTCCTTCCTCATTAGCTTTGTATGACACTTCCAAACACAAGCTCGAGCCGAGCTCTCGCCATGACATGGCTCGCCCTCTTATCAAGTATCGTAGGCTCGCGGCCAATCTTTCTCATCAGATTTGCAGTCGTACTGCCTTGGCATTGAGATGCTGAACATGCTGGCAGCTCCGCTTGCAAGCACAGCTAGGAAGAGCACGTGTCTGAACATCCCAACTGCTTGTGGTCACAGCACCACTCTTTCTTTGGTGCAGTCCAGCCTGCTCAAGCAGGCTTTAACTGCAACCCTAAGCAGAATTGCTGCAAAGCACCGACGATGTAGTCCAAGAACACAGAAGCACAGGAAAAGCACGCACGAATTCGAGCGACCTGCTTGCCAGTCCGTAAGCCCAAGCACGCAATCATATGGCTCAGCATCACAACCAACTCCGTAGTGCTCACAGCACTTATCCTGGCAAGCGAACTGCATGCACACTATAAGTTGATTGAAACAGCTGAAACTGGAGAGAGCCCGACCCTCTTCTCCTTGGACCAATCCTGGAGAAATCCCACGGGTTGGCGCCGGAGTGCAAGCAAGGGGCAAACAGGCTGCTCCTCGGGGTGATCGCCGTGTGAGATGGCACAGTCGTAGGTGGATGGCCTGAACAAGGCCATGTGGAGACGATGCTGTCAAAAAACGATTGAAGCTCGAGACTCGAGCCTGTGAGGGCAGCCCATTCCTTCGTCGAAGAATGACACATAACGTTGGGGGCATCACCGACAGACCACAGAACATCGCTCGGGGCCTACAGTAGCGCAACATCGCTCTTTCTTTTCATTGCTCCACCTGCCACAATATAAAAAAAAAACAAATGTCGTCACTGGTTGCAAGACTGAGACACCAACGCCAACACGTTTCCTTCTTCACCTTAGGTGACACGAAAAATTTTGGGCATGGCATCCGGAGAACCTGCCAACACCCGGAGCTAGCACATGTCTCGAGGCAGCCAAGGAACAGCTTGGAGATTCTGGAGTGTCACCCATCGTGGTCTGACACCCCAGCTGCTCGTAATTGCAGCACCTCGTCGAACCAATCGGCTATCAACTGGTGTTGCGACAACTTTACGAGTCTTCGGGAATCCTTTGCAAGTCGGTGCTTTGCAAAGAACCCCGCTTGCACGTCTGGTGCATGGGATGAAGACGTTGCAGGGTATGTCAGACCTATTCAGCACTTAATGCTAAACCCCAGTAGGGCTCGCGATGATAGTCGCTGTCAGCATTGCTGACGACAGATACAAATGCTTCAAGTGTTGCAACTCCTCCCGCGACCACTACAACTGCTACGCTTGCTTGCTGCTGCCACCGCACTGCTAACATCAATTTCGCCGTTTCTGCTACATACACCAACAATAACTACAACAACTATATACAACTATGTGTCATTCCAATCGCAGCCGGTCGCTCAGCTTGGCATTTAGGTAGTGGCAATGCTTTGCACCGGTGATTCTTGAGCACAAATCCACGTGGGCAAGTTCCGCTATGAATAGCAGCAAACTTGCAACCTACTCAGCTATCCAAGAAAGTGGTGGTGCAGGTGTGCACCATCTATACTTCTAAAGCACTTCGATGAGACTGTACAGTCAATAGATACATTCAAATCCATGCCAAGCTTGCTGGTGAGCACGACATGAGCACAACTATGTACAAGTGACCTCCGCAGAGGAACACGAGCTCAAGTGGCTGGGGCAGCTCACTCATTTAAACCTGTACACGCATATGACTATATCGGGAGTCAGAATTGGACTCTTCTCAGCTGTCTGACATTCTCCTCCTTGTGAGCCCCGACATTGTGATGTGCTGTCTGTGACCTCTCAGTTGACCATCCTGAGAGGGATAGCAACCGTTTGGCGATTCAACCCATAACCCACCGCCACGGAAAGTGGCGCAGGGTACATGTCACAACATTGACGCTGTTCGGGTCATTGTTCTGATCCATGTGTATACACATGGAAGTATTGCGCTCAAGCACAGAGCTGGAGAGTGTTTTATGAGTGCATGATCGGATGAAGTTGTTCACCAGAAGTGTCACCCATGCAAATAGCACGGTGTTGCGTCTGTGTCCTCAAAGCGGGCCCTGGCAAAAGGCGCCAGTGCAAAAGAAGAAACCGCTTCTCCTTTCGGTGTTAGCTTCTCTGCGCAGATCGCCTGAAGGTAAGCAGTCACACAGGAGCTCCCAGCCAGACACTCATTCGGACTTGACCGCTGGCGATCATGTCATGTCTGTCGGGACACTCGCCTCAATTTTCAGGAAATATGGAATGCTGACCCAGTGATCCTCATCATAGGGTCGTGCAGGCGATATATCCCATGGGGGTCTGCGGTCCCTTGGTCATCAGCCACCTGAGCCAGCAGAGAAAGATCACATAATGTAAGAAGCAAAGCAAGGCTGCACACTTGTGTTTGAACCACGCCCCATTCCTGCAGAAAAAACGTGAAGTAAGCCTTGCATGTACAAAGAGGCCAGAAGGCACACTGCGCGGAAAACGACCAGAGGCTCACTGTCTAACTGAACGCTACCTGCAGGCGGGGTCAGTGTATCAAAACATGCACGGTGTGGGACAGGTTTCTTGGATGCATGATATCAGGCAGCGCAATTTTTTCGTCGTTTTTGGAAATTTTTGGAGCGCAACACCAACGATCTGCGTGTCCCCCGCATTCACTCAGCATCCACGATGATGGCTCGAATGTGCATTTTGATGCTCAGCGCGCTGGTGTTCTCCCGGAATCTGGAGATGCGTAGTATGAAAACTGGGGGAGGATGGGTAAAGGCTTGTTTGTAAGGTCCTCCGTCGTGCCAATAGTCAATCAAACCCTGACATGCGCGATCCTCGTCATCGACGGCCTGATTCTCATTCTTAGGGCTTTAGGGGGTTTAGGGTAGTAGGGGCCATTAGGGGTTAGGGCATTGGGGGTTTAGGGTTGGGGGTTTAGGGCTTTAGGGGTTTAAGGGCTTTAGGGCATTTAGGGGTTTGGCACTTTCGGATTGAATGCTTGTATTTAGGGGTTTAGGGATTCGCGGGGCTTAGGGTTTTAGGGTATTAGGGGCCATTAGGGGTTAGGGTATTAGGGGTTTAGGGTTGGGGGTTTAGGGCTTTAGGGGTTTAAGGGCTTTAGGGGTTTAAGGGCTTTAGGGCTTTAAGCGGTTTGGCACTTTCGGATTGCTTGTATTCAGGGTTTTTGGGATTCGCGGGGTTTAGGTGTTTAGGGTATTAGGGGCCATTGGGTTAGGGTATTAGGGGTTTAGGGTTAGGGGTTTAGGGGTTTAAAGGCTTTAGGGCATTAGGGGTTTGGCACTTTCGGATTGAATGCTTGTATTTACCATAACCTTGAATAAAATAGCCCCTGACCCTTAACTAGAGTCCTCGGCTGCATATGCTCTTCCATGAATTCCACTAACCCTGAACCCACCCCTGCGAATAACTGTTGACCCCGAAACCTCACCCCCGGACTCTCCTAGCAACGCTTGGTCATAGCCCTGAAGACCCTAAATCAAAAATCCTACCCCTAAACCTTGACCCCCGAACGTGGAACTCCTAACGCTTGAGCCCGATACCTTAACCTCATAACCCGGAACGTATATCCACATAAACCCCATGTCTACCCGACCTAAACTAGAAATATATACTCCACCCCGAGCCCAGCAAGCACCTCCTCAGGATGGATCGTCCAGCCCTCCCCTTCGCACCACGGCTCGAGGCCCTCCGCGGTTCCGGTTTCGCCGTACCACGTGCCTGACCTCTTTCGCTTGTTCTTGTTCTTGGCCTTCTTCGCCTTCATGCTCTTTGTCTTTGTCTTCTTTGCGCTTGGCTTCTTCATCGTTGTCACACCCAGCTCGTCGTCGGCCGGCTCCTCCTCCTTGGTCGTCTCCCCCTTGAACTTGTCCTTCTCCTCGTCGTCGGCCGTCTCGTTCTCCTTGATTGCGCTCTTCCTCGCTTTTTTCTTCGCACGCACCATCTTCTTGGAGTTCTTGGACTTGGCTTTTGCCGTGGCTTTGGGTTTGCCCTTGCCTTTGGCTTTGGCTTTCGGCTTGGGGTTCTTGGCAGCTTCGGTGTCGATCGCTGCTGTGTCGGGGGCCTCGGTGCCGTTCGTCTCATGTGATCCTGTCATCCTTCGCGGAGGGCTCATCCTGGATGTTGGTCTTCGGGGGAACATCCATAATGTCGGACTTCTCACCTTGGAGTTGCTTCTGTATTTGAACATTAAGTCACGAATAGTTTCTCACATATATGCATTGACTGCTGTGGCCTGGCTTTCTGACGCAGATAGCTCGATGCGTCGATCTTGGAAATCAGTCGTCATTGATGTGATCTAGTGCGGCTTGCCAGCCCGTCTTCAAACCCTAAGCTCAAAATGGTGGTTTTGGAACTGGTCAGGGCAGGGCAGCAGCAGAGGCAGGAGTTCCAAAAGCACCAAAAAAATCGCTTTTTTAAAGGCGCGGGAAGCTCAAAATGGTGGTTTTGGAACTGGTCAGAGCACGGGCAGGGCAAGGGCAGGGCAGCAGCACTTGATCGAAAAAATATGTGTCGGCCTTGTGTGTGAAGTGTTGTTCCCTAATTTCGACCCCCTGATCTATACTGTTTACATGGGACTCCCAGCGTCCTTGAAGCACGTCTGGCCCGCGCCAAAATTGTACTCATAAACTCGCAAACATCATTTTGCGAGCGCAGGTTTACCCAATTAGGCAGCAGAGACTTCCATGCGAGAAGTGCATGCACATGTGTGGGCCTGCGCGTGTAGTAAACATCACGCCAGGCCTGTGCCTGAGCGCCAGATTTGCTGGCATCCGCAAGTGGAAGATGGTTAACGGCAAACAAGTATGCATGAATGCTGGCATTAATGTAGCATGTGTTGCTGCTGTTGAGTAGCCTGATCAGGAGAAGTCGGCTAACGCTTTCTGCACTAGCTCGGCAGCCGCTGACTGCTTGAGCATGTAACGAAGAGCGGCCGCAGGAAACTCTTGAAGTACTTAACTTCGTTGTTCAGGTCCTTCAGGTGATTTCTGTTAAACAGCCTTTTGTGAATCGTTGCTTCACCTCCCAAACGATTGCGCAAAGCAGGTCATCTTTCGTCATTTTCCAACGCAATGATATCACACCGGTCATCGATCGCATCCTCGTAGGCGAACCAACTGCTTCGCCCGTCCACGGATCGAGCCCCAGGAGATTTCTCTTCCGGAAATCTTCACCTGAGCGAAGTGTGCCGGAGAGACTCCGGTCACCTTTACCAGCGTGAAGCAGACCGGGGATCCGGTTGCTTCCGCGGGGTTGGAGCGTACCAACGGGTACCTCCACCAGTGTGAAGCTTCCCGTTTCCCGGGAGCTCCGCTACCACGTTGAGATGTCACCTGGGCATGTGTCCCCTCGCAGAGCGTACAGGAACACAGGCAAACGCAAGTGTCTATTTTTACTACAGGCGCACAGCTATATATCAGTACTCTGCTAGAACTTTGAGCAGCAGGCATGGATACATGCAAGTGATACGTGAAACAGACAGGTACCTGGATATGTCACATTCAGTTTTTCACCCCACACCCCCCACAACACCGGTGGTTGAACAATGTTTAGGAGAAACAGTTGCTGGGGGGGGCGCCCCCTCCTACTACTACTACTACTACTACTACTACGACTACTACTACTGAGAATAACAATGATACTAGCATTGCTTCCCCCCGGCACGTGCGCAATTTCCCGTTCGATGTACATCCATCGGCATGACATCTTCATGTTCTGCGACTCTGTGGACTTGGGTTTCCCACTCCGTTTATTCCTCTCAAACTTGTAAAATGTCAGCCACTCTTTTCTTCCACATTCGCTCTTCACATTGTGCATGTGGCAATGATAACACTGCCGCCAAAACAATCAAAGCATAGTGTTCCATTCCTCCCCTTTCTTTTTTCTCGCACACTTCACTGGTTTGAACAAAGGGGTTTAGTATGCACCCAGCAATTGGTTCCGACAACACTATCTGGCGGATAAGTCTCACCAAGCTTTCACACTGTTGCCGCTTCGAACGAATTCTCGCTGTAGCGCTTCCTTCTTCACCTTCCCCACTTTGGCTTCACCTGTAATTTCCTCATCTGAATATCCGACGAACCCAAGATGGTGCAAAATGATTCGCGATGCGCTCAACCTCTTGGCGTTCAAGCCCGCCGCAATCACAGACGTCCTCACTGTTCCCAGGAACATGACCTTGCCTCTGCTCGGAACGACAAGATCAACTTGCCATTCACCAATATGACTCCAAATTGCTTGCTCTTTCACCTTGCTTGGACTGCTGCCTACAGACTAGCCCAGAACACGGTTCAAGCACATGGGAGTTCATATCCTCAAACTCATCATCCTCCTTTCTTCCGTTCAGTGACTTGATCAACTGAAGTTCTGTGGTGGTGCAAGGACGCATCGATGCAAATGTTGCTTTGCCATCTAGGTACGGTATCAAGTGTTTCAAGCCCATGAGGGAGTCTGCTGGTCGACTCCTTCAGCCCGCCAGGCATTTAGCTGCGAACTGAATGTCGATCTGGTTCTGATCTTGAGCTACGTACGTACACTTCCCAGTCCGCTGAACTAGTCAGTAGGACAGCCGTACATAATATGAAATTCCTATATGTATGTAATAGATGGTTTAACTCAACAATTAATCCGGCAGAGGGCATCTCGAGTCAAGAAAGCACTCGGACATGGCGAACACCACAGGACACCACGACAGAAAGAAGTGTAATTCGGAAAATGGCAGCTGCAAACTTCCTCTAGTAGCCATTCTAGTTCTGGTGGCTCTCCAAGGATATCCAGACAGCTGTGCAAAGCTAGCAGTGATGGTCGGTGGCTTCTTGGGAACAGCTTGAGGCAAGCGCCATGCTCGCTTTGTCTCGTTCCAAATCTCTGCAGTCAGTCCTTGAGAGAGTGAAATGCGTTTGTTTGGAACTGACATGTCAGAAAACAAAAGCCTGGGTTCATGGCGGTTTGACTGTGCTGGGTTCGAGGCAACCATAGACTGCAGAACACGACCCATTATCACAAGATGAAAGTGCAAAAATGACACCAACCTTCTGGAGTGCTGCAATCATCTCCTGGCGTCAGGATCGCAGTAAGACCAATTATTGATCATTTCCTGACCGGAAACACCAAACAGGCAAATCGAACCACTCTGCCCAACTTTCCATCCGCATCCACCTGTGCTGCACTCCAGAGCAATTGGAAGAAGCAGTTGATTTGTTGAATCGCGCTCATCTGGAGCTGAGGTCAAGGCATCGCCACCAATCAGCAGATCCTTCCTTAGAAGGTTGTAACATAACTGGAGATGTCCGCAGCACAAAGGTGCCAAATACAGGAGTCAGGCGTGTGTTGCGGTAAAGGATGAGCATACATGGCTCGAAATTCCGGAACACCTGCCAGCAATGCAATCCACCTGCATAAGCCGCCGGATCCGAGCACTTTGGCGCCGGGCTGATGAAGCCATCACAATCCAAGTCCGCTACAGCCTGGGTTGCTCTGCAATTCGGGGAATTGGTAACAGAAATGCCTTCGGGCACGAAGCCGATGACAAGTTCAAGCAGCTTTCTCGCTGCTTTGCTATGCATTGATGCATTTCAACAGTTTAGAGAATGCCAGAGTTTGCAAAGAGGCAAGGAACGATCGAAAGGCCAACCTTTCTGAGTGCTTGGCCATTGTTTTTGCAGGCTCCAAAAGGATGTCGTGGGACTTCACCCCTGCCTCCATAAAACTTTGCACAGCTCGGCGTTTGCTGCAGGGTTCGATTACTGACGGAGCTGCATGGACCTTATCTGTTCTCAGCTTCGCCGGAAGATGGAGCCTGTTGCGCCAGCCCTGCTTCCATCTCGCCCAGGCTGAGCCCATTGCCATCCTCCAAGATGTGAGAGGTATTCAGAGCTGAAGCAGTCTCAGTCGCGCCCCGTGTCGGAACTGAACTGGCCTGGTCCCACTGCAGCCCATATTGCGCGAAGCACTGGGGAAGCTTCGAACTGCAACGGAAGAAAGGCAGAGGCAGTAGAAGAACCTGCGGCTGCAGAGAATGAGGTATCCCCTGCCTCGCTGCAGAAAGCCTGCAGACATCGGCTGCGGTCCGTCTCTGTCTCTGTCTCTCTATGCGAGCGACCGCATTTGCAGGTGCATCACCTGCATGCATCTATTTGCATGCGTGCCTCAAGATACATGCATACATGAGACGTCACATTATGTATACATATGGATAGAAATAAAGATAGATAAATAGATAGATAGATAGATAGATAGATAAATAAATGTATAGATAAGATATGTTCACACCCATCCCCCAATATCCACCCGAGCTTGCTTCTTGTAAGCAGCGGATTGTGGGAGCTGGGCAACTTCAGATGAGAAAACATCGCCAGATATCGAGATTCCCCAAATTCCCGAAATCTGAGCAACTACGGCCCCCCACTCCCCAGAGATGCAAGGTTTTTTGAATTTTGGGGAACGTCGATCCCTGCCAATGCTTTCGCATCTCCGGCTTCACAAAACTGGTGAAATTCCAGCCTGGTGGCATTTTAGCGATCTGGAACTAGATGAAGGAAAAAACGACACTAACACTAGCAAAAGTATTTGTAACAGTATCATTACCGGCATCATTGCTTTTAGTAGTTGCTGTTCTTTCATGTGGTTGACAGTTAGAGCTTGTCGAGGCCTTGGTTCTGCGACAAGACAGTTCTTGTTGAAACTATAGTACCTCACTCATTGCCTCAAAGAGATCTCACGTTTTATGCTCACAAAATGATGCTATTGCATTTTGGAGTATCAACTGAAGGAGCTTGCTTATTCCTGTTCATGGTTGGAAAAGCTCGGCTCTCTTCTGTCTTCTGAGTACTCAGGGACTGAAAAGCTTTGTTTCCTTTCAAACGGGAAGGCTGGCTGCCTTATTACATATCAAAAAATACACAGCGCTGGGCTAACTATTTTTGCTATGGCCGTGTGCACGAACTCTGCGCGCGCTTTGGCGCCTTCTCTGAAGCTCCCTGTAGCAGTCTTAAAAAAGTGACGTACTTAAAGTTAGCTCCGAAACGGGCGTTGTGGTCCTGCCAAATTTGTGGATAGTGTCTCGAAGTAACCAATTTCCTCCCTCTGCACTTGCCCTGTGTAAGAATTCGATCCTTATATGCTGAACAGAACACGATGCTGTGCACTGGATCTTTCGGGCTAAGAAAACAGACCCCACGCTGCTATTTATTAAGAAGTTTGGAGGGCGGTGTGGGCTCGCCTGCCTGTTTCCAAACTTCTAAGTCGGAGATTCTCGAGTAAAAGGAAGCCTTGATGCCGATACACATTCTTAAGAGTCTATAGAGGGAGTACTTTATCTGTAAGCGTAAGAGCATCCAATGCGTACATTAGAACAGGCGTTACAGTGGATTGGAACAATTTAACTTTTTTGGGGCGGCTGAGACTACTGTTCCAGAAGAGTCTCAGTTTTTTATATGCGGTTTCAGCTAACGCGGCTCTATGTGCTATAGCGGTATCTGCGGGTTTGCGCCAGGAAACCATGGTATCCAAGTACTCGGCGGATTTTGTAGTATGGACCGGTTCTCCATTCCTAAAATAGATGGTGGCGGTTCGGTCCGGCTTTACTAAAACCTCCGTTTTCGTGGTCTTCAGGGACAATCCATACAGGGATGCCTCTCCTTCTAGTTCCTGAAGGAAATTTTGAAGTTGCGGTGTGGTCAAAGAAATAAGGACAGTATCGTCCGCGTACTCAAGATCGTATATCGGGTTGCCTTCCGACCATGTGTTCGTGGGGATACCTTTCTCAAGAAGAACCTGGTCTAGATCCTCAAAAATAACACTGAGCACTATGATGAAGAGATATGGACTTAAAGGACATCCCTGTCTGGTCCCTGAAGAGACTTTACCCGTGACGGTGTGGTCAGCCCGGCCCTGTACCGAAAATGTGGGGTCCGTACACAATGATGAAATGATGTCCACTAAATCTGAAGAAAGCCCAAACGTCTTAAGTGCTGCTAGCATAGCGGCGTGGTCCAATGAGTCAAAGGCCTGTTTCCAATCTAAGAAGAAAGAGTTAAGTGGCCTAGCTGTCATATTAGACCATTCCATTGCTCTGCGCAGAACGCAAATTGGGTGGACCGTGCTGCGTTGCGATCTGAATCCGTATTGCGTATGTCGCAGCTTGTCCTCACAAGTTTGCGCCAGCCTGGATTGTATTATGGCGGCGAAGATTCTGTAAGTCACGTTAAACAGTGACATTGGCCTGTAATTTGACGCGTCAGTGTCCGTGCCCCTTGCCCTTATAAATGCTGACTACTCGGACCTCTTTCCAACTGCGCGGTGTGGTCCTGGACTCTATGGTTTCATTGTAAAGATCTAGCAGATTCCTCTCCACTGTGGGATCTAGTACTCATTAAGGGTTTCATCGCAACCTGGGGCTTTGGTGGCCTTTAGCTTGGATAAGGCTGTTTGGAGTTCTGTGAATGTGAATGGGTCGGAGTCGGGTGTGGTTTGGTGGAGGTGTGGTCTGGCCTTCAAGGTATCGATAGCACCTGGTGGGAGGTTGGGTTGGGCCCATTGCTTTTTTCGGAAGTGATCTCGGAAAGCCTCGTGGGTTTGGACCATGGAACTGGCTTTCCGTCCACGATGAAGTGGGACTTTTTGCCCACGAAGCCTTTATTTTGGTTTTTCATGGTTTTCCAAATCGCGCTGTGATCTCCTGATGGGTCTTGCTGAAGTTGTTGGTGGACCCAATAAATGAGATCCTTGCGCGCCATGCGTTTAGCTTTGTTTCTCATGCTTTGGCGTTGTGGTCCAGGGCAGCTTCCGCGTTGCGCACTTCCGTGAGCGCTGTGAGGGTTTCCTCTCGTATCCAAGGGGTGCGCTTCATGTATGGGTGGACCTTAAACGTTTGTGCTGCCGCGTTGTGCGTGGCGGCTTCCAATTGCTGGTATGTGGTGTGATTGGCGGTGTGATCCGTCAGTGGTGGAGCCCTGTGTTCTCTGCCTCCTTGCGCTGCGGCCATTGCGCCTCCCTGCTTTGCCAATTGGTCTGTTTGTTTCGTTGCCCTCCGTCCCTCTGTGGGCTTTTACCCATTGAAAGTGGCCCTTGATTGTGGTGTTGATAGTGATTCGAGAGTAATTTTTCTCCAGAGCAAACAACACGGCCTCTGCGATTGCCGTGGATTTCCCCGGTATCATTGGAACTTACCTTAGCTCCTGGCGGTGTGGTCTGGAGATGTGATAACAGGCCCCTCGGCTTCCTCCCAAGTCTCCCCTTTTCGGCGAGCACCATCTACCTCTAGATCCTGATCCATCCGTAAAAAAATTACCTGTTCTCAAAGGCGGTGTGATCTGCGGGGGTTCTGGTTGGGACGGGTCTAGGGCTTCTTTGATCAGGGTGTTGTATGGGTTCTTGAGTTCAGGAGTGAGGGTTTTGAAGTTGAGCTTGTGTTTGGGCTTAGCTGTTTTGGGTCTGTTGCCAAGCTTGTATTGGGCTTTTGTGACCAAATAATATTGATCAGTGGCAAATCCTGTGTGGAGTTTGGAGCGGCAACTGTTGACGGAGCTAAGCCACTGTGACCTTACAAAGGTGTGGTCCAGACATTGAAACTTCGTGGGATCTGGGCGTGGTGTGGGTCAGTTCGTTGGGGCGGGAGGCGTTCTGGTAAATCAAGGAGAGATCCAACCTGAGCTGCAAGTCCCAAAGACTCCTCCTGAAATTTGGGCTGTCTGTGTGCATAGAACTGTTGCATAATGAGGGGGTCCTGTATGAATTGTGACCAAGAGCGAGGGAGAGTTGCGCAAGTGTGTATCTAGACGGTTTTACGTTCAACATGCCGTCTATGGTAAGAATGACTACTGCGTTGGGCCCTTTCACCGTTCTGAACCCCGATCGGTTCCATCAACTTGAGCCCTGATCGGCTCCCTATAGCGCCGAACCCTGATCAGTTCACCCGAAGATTTTGCTGTGCTCGTTGCAGCGCAACCACGATCCTGATCGATTAGTTGCCAGGCTGGTTTCATTTGCTTCGCTCCTCTCAAAGGCATCGCAGACCGTCAGCTTTCAGACCAGTTGGGCCCAACCAGGAGCCGTGTTAGCCTTGGTTGAAACATCCTCCCGCCGCCCTAGACATGGCTTGAACACAAAGCGAACGATTGGAAGAGGCGTTGTGGTCGATATACCTTGGGCCTTTGCCATAAGTATACGGGCCTGTTACTCCTTGTTCATTGTGGTGTGATGCTTGAAACCTTACATTAAAGTCGCCGGTCAGAATGACTGGTTCAGGCTGTGGTATCTTACTAATGTGGGCCTCTAGTGTGTCCCAAAACGGTCACTTAGAGTCTTCTATGTCTATAAGCCTGAATGTGGACCAAAAGCTCTTATCACATGAAAATCCCCACCCTTTTTACCGAATGCTAAATGCAAGATTCGGTTGTTGAGCTGGATCACGTCTAGGAGGTGTGGTCTGGCTTTGGGTGAGATAGTAGCCCCTACACCTGCAAATTTGTCCTTGTTGTTTCCGGAGAGGATAACCAAATGTTGTTCAAATACATAAGAGTAGTATGAAGTACTCCTGGTTTCCGGAAGCATCAAAACGTCCAATCTATGCTCCTGCATTAGCTGCAAGGCGTTTTTAAGCTTAAGTGTGTCCGCGAACCCTTGAACGTTTACGCTTCCAACCGTCAGCTTGTTGGAAAATTGCATTGGCGGTGTGGTCCGGCTGTGCTTGATTTTCGGCTTCCTTTGTCTGGGGTATGCCTTCTGCCATAACAGGGATTGTCTGAACCACTTAGCCCTATTATGAGAGGCTTTCTTGGGCGGCGTGACCGCGAGATGCTGTCACCAGTAATCCTTCGCCACAGTCGGTACTGGCGTCTGCGCCAGCGCCTCCTAAGGGCCCCCCTGGATTGCCCTTTGGGGTACTCTTCGTTGGCCTCAAAAACGGCCCCCGGCGTGCCTCTGGGAAGCGATACTCGGCTACGTGTCGGGTTCTGAGTTCCAGTAAAATTACGAATCTGTTGTGGTCTGGAAGTCTTAGACTGTGACCCTGGGCTAACCTTACGCGTACAAAATATGTAAATCATCACAATTCTTCAGACACTGAGTAAACTCCCCTCACCAAGGTAAGCTGCGCTCGATATGCAACGGAATATTTTTGCAGCTTTCCAGAGCCTTAAGAGATGTAGAGGGGCTTCCTTTTCTGTTGTTAGGCGAAGGCGAGAAGACAGGAGCCATTTCATGTCTTGTTGAGCGATGCAGCAGCTCTCTTGATTTCTTGTTGGTAGTATGATGCAAAAGAGTCGGGTTATTTTGTTGCGTGAACCAAGTGGTCTTTTGATTCCTTTTAAGACAGGAACAACTAATGCGTTCCAGATATATCTTTGTCCTCATTCCCACGAAGGATAAAGAGTACAGAGGTGTGCTTCCATATGTGTTATGAGGAGAAGACAAGGTGATCTGTACTTGGTGTTTGCTTTTGTTCTTGCTGCTAGCACNNACATGAAGAAACGAGCAGCTGTTCCACAGTTCCATTTGATTTATGATGGAAAGCAGCTCGACACACTGAACTTATCAAAACTGTATATGAACATGGTGGAGGGAGACCACTTCTTTACGAAACATCAAGACTTAATTGTGTGATATTGGCAGACTGTAGCAGCGCGTTGCGTTGTCGCCACTGATAAGGAACTAAAGAACCTTCTTGTGTTTCTTGGTGGTGACAGAGGATTTCTAATAAAAGAAAAGAAAACCAACTATGCAGAAACCATCGAGTCTGTTCTTGTCTGTCTGCCTTAATTGAGAAGGGCTCAAGCGCTTCTTCCAATTAGCGCGGACACGGAACCAGACTCTGGCTTGGGTTTTGGGTGGCTTACATAAGCCACAAACATTCGCAAGAAGAAGAGGTCAGTAAAGGTGAACTGAAGAAACCGCCGTAAATACCGATGGTTTCTGGACCTCGAAGAAAGCATTTGGCGACATGATATTGCAGACGAACAGTTAACAAGAATGCTGGGTTGGGGCGGGTAGATGAACATATCCTCTTGCATACACGTGTTCAGCGTAAATGTACAGAGAAAACGCACGCATAGATGAAAGTGGAGAGATGGGTTAGTAAGTCACACGGACATGGTCTCTGCCTGCGTGGCTTTGCTTCTGGATTGCTTAGAGGTTGTGGTAGACATGGCTGATACAGCCTTGATCTATAAAGTTTTTGGACTTGGAGCATGCTTATCCCACTTGAAAACACATACACACACACACACACGCCACACACGCGCAGACACACGCTATTGCTATTACCTTTCTCGCTTTCAGTTGTGAATAGGTCAAAGCCGTCTTCCTATGTGTGAACACGGCACACACAAAGCTGGAAGAAGATCTTGCATGCTGTTATGTCAACTCCACGAAACGGGCGAGGAGCTGGCGGACTCGAGTGTGTGTGTGTGTACTGTACATTTAGCACGACAGAATGAATGAACCTCTGCAAACAATCAAGACGTCAGCTTGCGCAGCAGACCTGCACTGCAATAATTCTTGACAGGATGAGCCGGCTTCTTTGCTGGCGACTCCACGGTCCTGCTTGCATGCCTTGGCCTGTCGTGCCCCTGATTCTATGGACAGTGGCTCCGGGCCACAATACAGTCCTCAGCACATCCTGGTGTCTGTACTTGGGCTCCTTTCCCCCGGCTTTAGGTGACAAGCCCAGAAGACATGTGAGCGAAAGCTACACGTTGCAACGCGATCTGCTGAACGATCTGACACATCTTCAATTCGTGTCATGAGCTCCGGACTCCCCTGGGCTCAGAAGACCATCGAAGTTCGTGTCGGAATCTTTGAAGGCTTGACCGCGGTACGCCTTAGGTCGCTTCCATTTTTTCTGCTTTCTCAACAGACGCAAGATGTGTGACGGACCCGCGTCCCGGCTTCCACATCACTCCTCAGGGGAAAGCAGGCTTGATGGCCGCGAAAATCAAAACTCCTTGCCTGAAATTGGTCAGCCAGGTGCCCACACCTAACGCAAGCCCGGACGGAGACAGACTGGCTACTGCTTGATGCTCTGTCAGGGATACTGGCTGCAATCGTACATTGGAGACGAGTACCGGAAATCGTCTGAAGCCTTGATGCCACAACCAGTGGAATGATGCATCAATGCTGCACTTAAATCTTTGCATTCATAATCTACTTCCACCTCACTGGTCACCTGACAGCTTGCGGCTGGGCAGCAGCCATCATGTCACTTCCAACACTTCCAATTGCAGAGGAGAGAGGACCTTGCGGAAGCTTCCCAAAATTATCACAGCAATCCGGCTACAGCGGGTCATTAAGCAGGCAGCCTCGCAGCAGGAAGACCTGAGCAATGCAGGTATAACAATCCTTGCGCCATCTTTCCAAAGCACGTTAAACTTGATGTCCCGACGATTGCGCAAGTGCGAATAATCACACTTATAATCACAGTACGTTCTTAGAGAGATCCAGGATTCACAGGAACAGCCGATTAGCAAGTCGTTCGACTGATAGTCTTGCTTCTTTGTGCAAGCGCAGAGTCTTACAGGCATTCAACTGCCAACCGACGCCGACCTCCACCCCAATTGTGTTCGGAGTCGATGCTCATGCTGAGCCAGAAACAATGCTACAGTCCCACCTTGCTACATGTTGTGCCTCCAGATCAGCATGAAATGCACTCGTGCTGAGCAGCTCCAGCCCCACCCAACAACAACATTCGCCACACACTTTCGGGGTGTGTGTGTGTGTGTCTCTATGCCTGATGCCTTGCACCATGCCTGTGCTCCAAACTTATCGGAATTCTCACTGCCTGACCCGCTGGAGAGACCCCGATGAGTTCCGAAAAATCGCACGAAGGAACCAGGCCCCTTGAGACAGAGGAGCTGAGATCTATACACATGTCCTAGACCCTCGTCATCACAGGGACACCTTTCTTCGGGTGCCCATTTCAGCTCAGCGCATCAGTGACACCCGTTCGGACTCCATTTTGCCGGACTGGCCACGAAGAACGAGTGTGTCTCCGAGCACAGCCGCGAGCACAAGGCCAGCGGACGTACATCCTCCGTTCAACCCCCTGTGCCACCAGACCCCAAGGCTGCACGGCTTCCTTACTTTCCACGCTTCGTCAGCCGGTCCGTCGTTCTGGATTCTGGGTATTTCGGAATGGAGCCTCCCTTCCAGCATGTCTTAAAAACTGAGGCTGCTGCAAGCAGAAGTGCCAACGTCATGCCCAGAACACACAAACCTGAGTGGTAATCACAGCCACTGCTGAACACCCTCTAGAACGAAGCCAATGTCAACATAATCGGGCCGGCAGCGACAATTCCCATGCTGTTCAAGGCAGATCGCATTCAAACAAGCTTGCATTTGTAGCCACAGCACACCAGCAGCAGCACATTGGACTTATCCTCCGCGTGGGAACCTATCAAAGCAGGTCCAATGAACTTTCGACAAAGGAACTGAGACGAATGACAACACCCGCCTCCGTTATGGAATAGGCACCGCCAGAGACCTGCATGTACTTCTCAACCTGGAACCAGCCAATGGGTGTTTCGCATCTGTCTCCAGCCGCTCTTGCTAGACCTACCCTGCACCTTCTCATAGTTTCCATTGCCCTGCCCAACATACGTCCTGAGCAAGGTAAACTAAAGCCGTCCATGACCAAAGTGTTTCGACGGACACACGGCTGGGAGTCGGGCCAGTGCTTTTGACTCTCCCCCGTGTCGTCCATACAAGCATCTCCTGACCACCAGAGCCGGCCGCATCCCGCGCTGCGGCGTAGCATACTCACCACCGACTGCAAGACCCCCTGAGGCAGTCTCCACATCCTCCGTCTTCGATGCAAGGGCCTGGGAATACGGTCGCCGTCTGCCCAGAACGGAATGACAGACTGTAAGGGCAAAGCCGGAGACAGAAACATTCCTGCAGTCTGCATCGCTTCACTCAGAATACCTCCTCGTGAAAAAAATCCTGGTGCAGCCTGTCCTCGATGGCATAGTGCCGAAAAGTAGTCCAGCCTCCAGGAGACTCAACTGAAGCCAATCTACAGTGCAGTGTTCAAGGCCTGCGGCCCCAGAGTCTTGACTGGGATCCCTTGAGCCGCAAACCGCAACAATCGGCACGCTTGGCACGTCTGTGGCACACCAACTACAGATTGCTTCTCAGAGCCCCAATGCTTCCTGTTTTGCTCAAAAGCATGCAAGCAGGTGGTCTGTCTGGTGCCTACCGCTCACCTTGGTCTGCGAGGCTAGCAGCTGTCTTGAAGGTGCTGAAACATGCCCAAAATCTAGCTTCTTCAGGCACACACCCAAATGAAGTTGCTCGCAACCTGCTTACGGCACGGTCGCCGTAAAGGACCTGCATGGCCGGTGTAGATGCGGCCTTGCTACGAAACCACTCCATCTGACTGGGAACCGCACCTCTCCGAAAGCGTTGTTCAGAGGTGTGGAATGTGCAGGCCGCCGAGCATGCAACGAAGAAGTCAGCAGGTATCGCCGATGTCTGCAAATACACCGAGGGAATCAAGTGTGACCGTGTCATCAAGCTTCCTCGTAAGTGACACTCAAACCAACTTGCTGCAGCGAAAGGCTTCAACTTGCGAATGCGAAAGCGCATGCGCAGGTCGTTACATTGCACAGACATTTACGACATAAAGGATGTAGAGGTCTACGGCGTTGCGTTCAAGACGCACAACCGCCTCTTCCCCAGTTGTCATGGCTCTGACAGCTTGATGTCGCCAGCAGGCTCCTATGCTGTTCCCTTCATGCAGACTCTCTTCCCGGATCCTCAAAAACCCCGGATCTTGTACGAGGCGCAAATCGCACTTGTTTTTTCGATAAGGGGAATACAATGAGTCATCAATCAAAGCACAGTTTTGGAAGAATCGTGGCGGTCTGCAGGAATACAGACGCTTTTCTGGAGGCGACATTCATGTCACATAAAGGCGCGATGCTCTCGCACTCGTCATGCAGTTTACTGTTTGGGGGACAGCAAACAAAAGCGCACACACACACACACAGCCACGAGCATCCTTGACTCGCCATGCTTTGGTCACAAAATCAAGCGTTGCCAAAGTCTCTCTAACTCTCGTCGACTCTATTGAGACTCCATTGATATCTTTGGCCTGATGCACTGCTTGTGTGCACAAAATCTCACTCTGGTGCAACCACCATGGTCATCAGAATGATCAAGGATCTCACGGATCTGTTTTGCTTGATTGGTTCATCATCTCTATCTGTCTCTTCTGCCGTGTCCCAGCACTGGACCGACGACATTCTAGTTCTGCAGCACCCACGCCGAGACTTACCGGTTTTGTCACCACCCTTCCGTGCTGAGAACCTCCAGATGCTTCAGCATTTCGTCATCGACGACCTGCCTCGGTGACTATTACAATCTCAGAAAGGAGAACGGCACCACTCCATGTCAACCGCGGCCGTTCAGGACGAAACTTGACGATATCATCATTTGCCGTGATGTTGCAGGCTCCACCTGACCTGTTGCAGAGCTGAGAGAACAGTGTCATCCGAGCAATCTCTTCTGCTTGAAAAGGCTGGGCGGCTTGAAGAAGTCAACAGCGCCGGAAGATGGGATTTGCGTATTCAGAAGATTGCTGCACTTCAGCTGGAAGCCTTACACAACTGCAATGTCCAATTCTTGCAAAGGACGCCTAAAAGCTAACGCTTGATGTGAAGCTGTGCAAGAAGCTCGAGGTGTCGGTCGAGTCCTGGCACCCAAGCTCTTCATGGCCATCTGGACAATTGCACCTCGGAGATTCGTACCCGCAACCGGCAACCCTGGCTTCAGAAAGTATCTCCGTTCGATTGCAGGTCCCGTGTTTGTAAGGAGAAGAAATCCCCTTCTAGGGTGATCCTATTCACACTCAGCTCCTAACTCGTCTCCTGGTGCGGAACCGAACTTCGAAGGCTGGCATCCGTGGATACTTCCTGTGCGGCTGCACAGCAAGGCCACTGCAGGCCCTAGACACCACCTGCGACCTCCCTGAAACTTGGCAAAGCGCACTGGGTCCTCCAGCGAAGACGGATTCGCAATGATACAACAACAAAATTACAATGACGACAGCAATAGCTTCGACGTGACATCACCGTCTCCTTGAATCGTTTCAGAAAGAGCGCTGGCAGCCCCTCTGTCACACTAGACTGTGCCTCCTCACCTGAAACAGTGCATCTCGGTGCGGATGTTCTGCAACGCTACGGAGACGGTCATGACAAGCAATCAACTGTGGCCCCGGCAAAGAATCCGGTCCTGCCAGTCGGCTGGAAGTCTCGCGCATGAAACAGCAACAAAGTCGGGAAGCGACATGCTGCAAGGAAATCGTCCTCGCCAGCCTTGTCTAAACTGTCCCGGAGTCTGTGGCAAGCTGCATCAAGCCTTGCTTGACAGATGGAACTGTCAATCCTTGGCACGCGTGACTGAGCATGCGACGCGGCCTGTCCATTCTGCCAAGTTGAATCCAACTGCTGCTTCAACCTGCTGTTTCATGGCCCTTCGTCGCAGGCGATGCGCTCGCACAAATGACAAATGATGCAGCAATCTGGCGACTGTGCAAATCGGCAGGCCGTCAACACACGCCGGGACGGCACGTGAGCTCTTCCGTAAGTACGCTCCTCGCAACAGGCTTCACGGCTAGTTTACGTCTTGAACACACATGACCATGCTGAGCTCTGGGAAATCAGCCATAACTTCTCGGCTTTTGCCCCATGCCTCGAATGCCACGAAAATCAAAGTCAGGCCGTCGATTCTCACAGTACATCACGGTCTTGGAAGCGAGACGGCGTTCATGGACTCGATGGAACCACGAAGACCGTCCTGCTGCCCAAGGTTGTTGGAATGTTGGTCTGTGTGTGCGTGCATTTCTGCGGGACGATCGCTGCAACCGAGGAGGGATGTCCAGGTGTTCTTGCAAAGATGATACTTGCTCGAAGCTGCAGCGCACTCTTCCTGACGCTCAGGACAAGTGATCATCGTGCCGCAAGCCTAATCTTACATACTGTGCACAACATGCGCCTGCGCGTCGTGCCAAAGGCGCATCGACGACGGATATTGACCTGCATCGATGACATTCGGTGCAGGGAATTAGAATCGGTACATGCCAAAGCCGTCGTCCGCACATGAGGACATCAGGCATCTGCACCATTGCGGCGGAATGACTTAAACGGTGGATCGATTGGTCCATTGTTGCATCAAATATGTCCATATATCATCAACGACTGCATGCACTGTTTGAATGTGCTACAAAACATGTCATCAATATTCAGGATGATGCATCAGAAAGGAAATGAACAGCTGAGACCACGCAGCAAGGTTCAGCATCCCTGATTTTCCAAACAAGTCCCCTGCCCCTTGCAAACTTGTTCAATGAGCTTCGAAGATGCTGCCAATGATGAGTTCGAATCTATGTCCTCCTACAAGCAATGTAAAAAAATATGACGTGAGGCTTTTGCTTGATGTTCCTGCTAAACTTCCACTGCGCATAATGGAGGCTCACGCAGATCCCCTAAGCCCTAAATCTCAGTTCGGTGAGAGTGAGGTGAGCCCTCAGCTGTGGCCGCTTTATGTCCCTCCTTCGCTGCAAGGCAACATGAAAGCGGAAAACCCGCGGATGCAACGGCCAATCAGTTGGCCAAAAGAAAAAGCCAATTCACAAGCATTTTGAGCAGATGGACCCTTGCGGCAGCAGAGCAGGGCTTCCAAAGACACCTCCAAAGCAGCAGCCAAACAACCTGCAGAACCCCCGTGGAAGCTCATTCTGAAGATACTCCATGGCGCTAGTCCAGATGAATTCTCAGGATCTTTGATTTTCGAGAGTCTGGCTTGAGATGGCTGTTGCTAGGCAAATCTCGGACGTGAGATCAATCTTTCCAATGTTCGTCTTCTGAGGCGAGCACGAGAAGTGGGAAGATCGGTCTTGGCATTGTGCAGGCTAGTAGCTCAGAAGTTGATAGACAGGATCGAAGGCTCAAATGTTCCGATTGACGATGCAGCCACAGAATTCTTCAGAACATGATTTGGCAAGATGTGCTGAGCACTTGTTTACTTATGTTTTCAGACGCGGCTGCAACATGCAGAAGCAAAAGGTTGACATGGCGTGCATAACACTGAAGCATGAAGCATCTGGATTCTTTTCTCATTAATGAGCGAGGCGTGCGAACTAATTCGAAGTCGTGACATCGAAAGGTTTGTGGCAGTTGGGCCACTGCAAAAGTACAGAAAGACATTTTGCAAGCGAGGCAAAGGTCACAGCAAATTGCTGCTGGACTCCATCCAGCAAGAAACACCCAGCTCCAAACCTAACAGTAGATGCCATTTCCCGTTTTCAAAATTTGCTGATCAAATAGCAGCTCTTCTACAAGAGTCCAAACGACAACGAATCTCTGATCAAGCTTCTCATCAGCTAGATTTGATGATTCACAGGTTGACATTGCGATCGTTTTTGAGGAAGTTTCAATACAAGAAGCTTTTTTCTTTCGAACAAACACATGTCAGAATGACGCTTGCTACTGGATGAAGGGTTTAAAGCGTAGTGTTTTGGATGGACAGACAGAACAGAGAACAGAACAAACATAGACATGACAGAAACGACAGACGGCAGACGGACAAACAAACAAAGAGAAAAGACAGAACAGGCAGACGGTTTCATTCGGGCACGGGCACTAATTCTGGCACTACTCAACCGCTATGCTTTGCGCCACCTCCTCCCCTCCCCTTCCCCTCCCCTTCCCTCCC